TTTTTTTTTTCCTTAAATTACATTCGTAAAAATATAAAAAAAATATGATATCTGAGGAAAAATTTACTTCATCTGTGTTCTGCGTGGAAGCTTTGCTCGCTTCTCATTCAATGTGAAAGAATGTAGCCGTAACAACGATCGTTTCATCTTCTTTTCTATTATCTACTGCGAAAAAAAAGTCCCAAATCACTCACACACGCGATAACGATCGGGCGCAATCTGAGCAAGATTCGAAATTCGACGTGTTATAATATATTGTTTCCAACGTTTGAACAGCCACAATACTTGTGTATCTTTCAATCCCTAGTCAACCTACAATAATAAACAGATACGAAAAATCTCCATTTCTCTTGCACACACATTTCAAGCCAAGTCGAAGTTACAATATATAGAAAAAGGAGAATCTTTCAGTTCTTAACGAGCCAAACTCTGTCGATGTAATTGGGAAATTATACAGAGAGAAGAAAGCTTCAGTTATTAACATATCAATATTAATGAATTAGATAGCATGCTAATACTAATTCGAGTTGTTTAAAAGGTTATTCAAGATATTTCATTGAAAGAAATTGCAGTGAGAATTTGAAAATCGGTAAATACTTACGAAAAATAGAGATCGCTGATACGTGTTGTGAATATTGATACAACGAGTTGACTGACTTCCAAGACGAAACGAAATCAGAGTAAACCTCTCCAGAGGTAACAAATTCAATATTTTATCTATTTCACACTGAAATAAAACTATATTGCCTCACTTCCACTGATTAACGACAACAACTGAAATTTATCATATATTGAAACGTAACGTAGCTTATTGACAGTTAACAATTGTGTCGATTATAAATCGCAAGAAAAATTTGAGAAAATGTACAAAGTTGTAACCTTTGAAAAAAAAAAAAAAAAGAACAGGATATAGAGGAGAGACTTTGGATTTTACTTTGGCAGAAATCAAAGGGTAACATAGTGGATCTCGGTGATTTCGGTGCCAGCCATGCTGGATCCCAACGATATACCATCGAAAAGTCTAAGGTCGAAGCTTATTCGTGATGTCTCGAAGGCCTCGAGCACTGTTATCGAGGAGTGGTGGATTAACGTGCACGCCTTTGATCTCGCC